TCAGCAGGAGTTAGGAAACACTTTAGTGAGGAACAGAAATTCTTTCAATTTTACATGAGGATTACAAAAAGTGATAAACAGATTTGTTCCAGTTCAGCTGCGTGGCCCAGGGCAGGAAACAGTTGAGGAGGCATTACGCTTGAGATGAGTATATAGTTTTACTATAGGCCTACTGTAAATGAGGTTATCAAAACTAAAATAATCTAATTCTTTAATCTTTGAACTATTTGAATACAGAGGATTATTTTTCTAATTTGTGTTTGTTATTGCTATGTGAAAAATGAAAAGTGTTCTTTATTTCACTTGGTTAAACTTTTTTATCCAGCAGCAAATGAGGAGTCATGCCTATGGCTGTCTCTGAAAGGCATCACCAGATCTGAAAGAGTTCCTTTGTTTTAAATCCCAGAGGCCTTTAGAAACTCTGCCTTACTACCCTGTCTGCACCAAGGCAAGAGTGCATTAATCCTATTTTACAGGTAGAGAAATTTAAAATAAAGCATTAACATTGCTAAGGCCACAGAAGGTATCACCATCACAGCACTGTAGGTGCTAACACCTTGTGCCCTTCGTACTCAGATGGCTAGACAATTAATTAAGAGACTGCAACAAAATAAAACCGTAGTTACAGCTAGAGTTCCAGTTCGGCTCAACAGTGTATCAGCACATCAGTTGCTGCCAGTGAATAACACAGAAACATGGCAAGTGGGAAAACAGAGGCACAGAAAGGCAAATCACTTGCCCAGCACTACCAGCGGTCAGCAGTAGAACCAAAGATGGGACTAGCTCTCCCAAGGACCAACCCAGGCAGCAGTCAAAAAATGCAACATTAAAATGGAAGGAGCCCTCTGACAAGTCTTTACTCTTAATGTATAGCCAGGAACTAATTTTGTGACCTTCCAGAACTCAAACTGGACATCTTTGGTAAAGAGACACTGGACAACTTTATGGAAAAAGGAGGATGTTTTTCTACAAGACTTGCTAAAAAGTTTTTGAGGCTTTTGTGATAAGACGATCAGAGCTGAAATCTATCCATGTGACAAGCAACAGCAAGGACTGCCCCGAAGGCCTGCTCCGGGGTATACATTTATTCTCCTCAAATTTACAGGCAAATTAAAAGAAAATAGAGAATTCTAAGTCCCACAAGTACTCTAAATTGGATAAAAAGCACTGGACATGGCTGGTTACTTGGGTTTTAATGAATGGTTTATGGACATAGTGCAACTGTAGCACATTTTACTTTATGCCCAGTATAAAAATATTAATAAAGATATCAAAGTTGATAGCTGAGTTGTTTAGTCTTAAAATGCTTTCATGCCTTCACTCTTTTTTTTTCCCCCCCTCATGGTAATAACTAAAGCTTTCAAAACCGTTTCGCAGGCAGTAAACCCAAAGTATTGCCCTAGCCTGATAAGAACATGTTTGGAACTTGATTTAGACTCCCCCACTCATTATCTAATCCCCAAAAGATTTGGTGCTTCCAGGTGCACGCTTGCAGTCATCCTAATAAATCCACAAGCTTTGACACAGAAGCTACAGCATCTCCAGAAAGGAGTCAATTAGAAGCAGTACATTGTAAGTAAACCTACTCAGGAAGGAAGGTTTTATTTGGACAGAATTTTTTGTCAAAGTGTGGCAACAATTATTTTGTGGAAGGACATGCAGAGGAACATGTTACTCTAACACCTTATTTTCTAACAGAGTCATTGAAGGGGTAATAGGGGTGTCCCGCATCTCTTTCTACTAGCTTTCCATTCACCTGTGAAGTAAAAAGACTCAAGTCAGAAAGAAAAATCCATTCTTACTCTCAGTTTCAAATTCTACATGATGAAGATTCTAAATCTTCATATCCCAAACATCTGGGAGCATCTTTTTCAGCTTAAACAAGAGATGTTCCCTCTACTCCTGAGTCCTCTTAGCACTTCTTGAAAGAATATTTTTTAAATAATTTTAAAAAGGAGAGAGATTTCTGTAGCCTCAAGCAAGAGTCTTTCAAGCTGCTGAGGTTTGAAGAATTAGATTAAGAATAATTAAAAGGCTTTTGCCCTGTAGTGTTATTGAGTAAGTGCTGTAACATGCACACTTCAAAACAATTTATTCGAGTTGGAGCTTTTGCCCATGTTTCATGATGGAGAGTTGCTGGGCTGCCAATTTTACAGATGGTAAGATGAAACACATTAACTAACTTGTTCAGGGTCATATACTGAAGCATTAATAGTGTCACTGAACTCCTTCATAGCACTTTTTGTTCAAGAACACTTCCAAGGAAGATCAGCTTCTCTAGCTGTAAAATGGGAATACTGAAACTGATACTCACACACAATGACACAGAGGCTCAGGCTAGCCCAAAAGCAGACATGGCCATGCAGAAGTCTCAGTTCCTACATCCCAACTCTAAGCGTTCACACGCACAAGTTGCATTTCTAGTTGCACTAAGTCCACTGCAACACCCCCGACTTCCAAGGAGCTGAGGTAAAACCTTGCTCCTCATCTGTAATGTTTGGGGAAATTTAGGTGCAGCATTGGCAGAGATACACACTTCCCTGAGTGACAGACTTGCATCATTCAGCTAGAACTTAAGTGACTAATGACTGTAAAAAAGTTATGTTAGAGAAATCATTGACTTAAGACATACAAGTGTGATGTTAGAGATCTCTCAAAATGTTATGGGGACAGAGGTAATCACAGGGACTTTCAAACCAAGTATCCACTAGCAAGTGCCTCTATTAGCTTTCAGTATAAAACCTACATTTCAAAGCAACACTGGAATCCCTGGTAATGAATTGCCTACAGTGACTACTGAAGTGTGAAATTAGTCACTTGGGGGCACTACAGAGCAGAAAACTAAGATGCTAAGGTTTAACATTTGACTGATAATCAGGTTAAAGTAAAGTAGAATAAAGCTGAAATGAAGCTGTCAGCTGAAAGCAATCCTTAAAATAGTGGACCAAAGTATCATAGTATCTTCAGGTTTCCTCATATTCTCTTGAGAGCCAACAACTTCCTCATGTTCCTAGAATTCATACTCCTCATTTCCACCCCCCCACCTCAGTTTCTTCCCCCTGCATATTTTGCTACACAGAACAGCTCTTCAGGTAAGCATTCTTGTTTGCAGCATGCCAAGACAGCAGCTGCCAGAAGCAATGTTTCACATAGCTGATTCCAGTCTATCCCAGG